CGCCGATCCCCTAATGGCGTGGGGGGGGGACTGGAGCCAATGGGGAGGGGCGGGGTCAACCTGGATGGCAGCATCACAAACATCATTGATTAATTCACTCAATGCTTCAGACACCAAAGCCAGAGTCTCGTTATAACCACGCTGTACGTTAACATTTATTGTCCACCAGGGGGCAGAACAGAGCAAATGAAGCACCATGACGCTTCAACACACGAGTGAACCAATTGGATGGAATGCTTCAAAGCTTTATTAAGCTTCATCTCGCCATCACTAGTGTGAAGTGACCAGAGGGAGAAATGGAGGCGACACGATGTTTAAGTCCACTGCTAATGTTTCCGTCTCTGTCCCCGTGTGTGTCTCTGTTGTGGTGCGCAGCGTGGGGGAGGAGGAGCGGGCCGGTTCCAACGGAGTGGACCCGGCCGAGCCCCGGGAGGCCGGCCCCAGCCCCGAGCCGCTCAACGGACGGCTGGACGCCGCCTGCTGAGGGGTGGGGGGGGCAGGAGCCGGGGCGACGGGAACGCGTTTGCCTTTCATTCTTATCGGGTCCACACCCCAACGGAAATGTCTTTATGCTTCTCAGATTTCTATCCACCGTCTAAAGAGAAAAACCCAAATCAGCCCCAGTCAAACCAGTAGAGACTCAGAGTCCAGAGGCAGTAAAAACCACTTTAAACGTACCGCCTCCACTTCTCAGACAAGTCACGTGCCTCAACTGGAACTTTATGGCAATAAATTCGACATTTAGCAGAGGGATGCTAATTTGTTTCCTCGTTTAAGAAAGCGGAGCTGGAAGTCTGGGAGGAAACGTCAGGAATAGTGGGTCCGAGTCGCCCAGGTAACGCTGGAGGACCCAGAACCAGGTCCCACCTAGTTAATAGTCAGGTTAACATCCAGAAAATGTAAAGAAAAACAGAATAACAGGACGTCAGAGTCAGAAAAGACAGAAAAGGCCTGGACTTCACACTCGGCTTAAAGTTTATAAAAGTAAAGTCTCCTTCATTAGATTAAAGATTATTTTCAGAACAGATCACATAAATTGAAACCAGGATAGTTGGAAAAATGCTCCACTTAAAGGCAGGTGATGGAGATTTTGAGTTTTTGAGGAGAACCAAACAGGCCAGTGTCTCTTTGCTGGAGTCCCCTGAATGAGTTCATCCTAAACGACTCCTTCTGTGATGGAAAATGTTTTTAACTCCACGTTTTCCGGACTCCACCTCAGAGTCCAGCTTCTGCCTCTTTAGTCCCAGTGGAGGTTTTCAGAG